TTAGCGGATCATTCAAAGATTTCTTATTTAAATGAAATCCTTGAACGTGCTTGTGGTATTTCTTTTCAACAAGCAATTTTGCTCTAACAAAAATTTTTTTTTTTCTTTTCCCTTTTTTTTTTTTTTTTTTTTTTTTGTTTGAAGAAAAAAAAAAATCTTACAGCTTAAAAAAAATTATAAAATTGAAATTGGAAAACATAATGTATGTGAAATGAAAATTTTTGTACACAAATTTCTGTAGCATAAAATCCCAATAAAAATCCCACAAAACTTGGTAATAATAACAATAATAATAACAGTTTTGGAAATACAATAAAACATATCATAGAATAAATACCTATATATCTACAACCAAAATTTGAAATTCCGGTAAAAATAAAAAATAAAATAAAATAAAATAAAAGACAATAATCACACCGAGATTTCATGATCTTATCATTATATGTTGCTATTCTAAAAAAAAGTATTTTTTTCCGTGCAAATAATTTACATGTTACAATTTCAATTCTCCCAAAATTTTTGAACACATATTTTTATATTGCCATGGATCACCAGCAACTCTGCGGAATTGTAATCCATGTACTCCAAGTAAAAGTGGAACCTTAACTATAAAAATCTCAAATCTCACAACAAGATCAGTAACATTGGCAGTGGTAGATACCGAAGGATCGTTATTAGGTTGACTCCCAGGATGTACATTAGCAGGTAACGAAAGTCGAACCTCACCATCAGCCGAGAAACGAAGATCTTGTCCTTGTGCATAGCTATCTTTGTATGAAGTTGATGATGATGTAGAAGCGGCTGAATTACCAGATGAATGACTGCCTCTACGTTCATTTCGATTAAAATGAGAGTGATGATGATTTGTGATTCCTCCATGAGCATAATTAGAAATAACAACAGACTTCAAGTCAATGCTCGGTATGTGAACACATTCAAAGCCACCTCGACCTTCACGCCACTTGACACCAATTCGATCAAGTACTCTTATAAGGTCTGATCGAATTATCGAAGGAGGTTTTGTAGAAGTTGTTGCAACACTAAATAGACCTTTTAGATACACCGGTCTAATCCATGAATCAGCAGTGCCACCTGGTAAAGGTGAGTGTGGGGAAGATGAAGGTGGAAAATTGAAATCATTGTCGGTCATTTGTTGATTTGTATTTGTATTAACACTTATGGTCACCGGTGATCCACTAGATGTACTTCGTTGATGTGTAGAGCGGTTTGCATTGGTAGAAGTAACTGAAACAGTTGTAGATTTATCAGACTGAGGATTATGTCGTGATAATGGCTCAGCCAATTGTGGTAAGGTACCAACAGGTCCTTTAACACCAGAATTCTTTGTCGTACTATTTCCACTATTTCCACTATTACCATTAACAATAATGGTAGTAACAGGTCTACTATTTCCAACAGAATTTCTTTGTTTATGACGTCGATAATCTGCTTCAGAAATAGATGTGGCTCTCGATAATATGGTTGATATCCTATGAGAGAAATGATGAGCATTTTCTTTCTTTGGACCATTTGGAGTGGATCCGTGACGACGATGTTCTGTTTGACCTCTTGATGATATGTGGGTTGGAGAAGACGGAGGTGATATGGAATCACGAGGTTGGCCAACTATAGCTAAACTCAAGCGCCTGATTAGTCCACCACCAGTATTTCCATTATCTGCTGATAGTTCATTGCTCTTTTTACCATAATTTAACTCACCACTAACTTCATCCATTGTTTCTTCGGGAATCTCTCTCTCTTTAATAGCAGGTGAACCTATTGAAGTATTATTCAACTCGCCTTCGCAGCTAGTACGTGAACGAGGTCTCGTTCCGGTAGGAACGGTTGCGCGTCTAATAACTTGCGAATTTGGGCTTGTTCCAGGTTGTGCCAATGGGCGCGTGTTGTCAAAACAAGCGTCATTTGAATAAGATGGGTCAGGCATAGAAATGAAGGGCACTTGCAAGCTATTTGTATCAAGTGAAGATGAAGAACCAAGTTGAGGAATACCACCTTGTTGCATTAAACGATCACGTTCAAGCTTTTCTTTAACGAGATAATAAATTGAGATTAATGGATGAACAGCTTGTGTTGGATCAGCAGAAATAGATCTATCTTCTTGAATCGAGACACTAGAACCCGATAATTTTCTACGATAATAATCGAAACCACTTGTTCTTTTCCTGTTATCACATGATCCACCAAAATTATTATAGTGCTGAGATCTAATAGAACTTTGATAGGAATCACTTTTAATTAGATTTTCCAAACGGCATTTTATTTCTTGTTCAGTACCAAATTCAAAACCAGTCATCCCGCGAATAACATCAGGATCTAAAGGAAGAGTGAGTGGAGTTCTTGAAGGTAAGTAATTTTCCGGAGGACCATCGTACCCTTTATTCATCCAAGGGTGATTCATTACTTCAGCAAGTGTAGCACGATACATTGGATTGGTAACAAGCATTCTCGAAAGTAGATGTTTGCAATCTTATATTAAATAATAAAATTTTAAAAAACAAAACGCATTTATTATAAATGAGTTAATAATTATTATTAATATAATGGGGACCTACCGCTACTTAACCATCCAGGATATTCAACAACGCCCCTTTTAATCTTTGCGTGTAAAGCAGGCATGCTTTGATCATCGAATGGTACTTTACCACAGACAAGAACATAAAGGACAATTCCAAAGCTCCATACATCAACTTCAGGTCCAGTATATAATTTTGCATTTAACAACTCTGGTGCAGCGAAATATAGAGAACCACAAAACGTTGAAAGATGGGAGCGTGGTGAATACAAATTTGATAGTCCAAAATCAATAATTTTAATAGAACCAGATTTAGATATAAGGATATTTTCAATCTTTAAGTCTAGAATATTCATAACATAGGTTATATTTCAGAGTTACACACTAATAATGATACTAAATAATTGAAACTTTTAAAACATTTGAAGTTAAATAATATACCTCGATGTACTATAGAATTTCTATGACAATAATCTATTTTATTAATTTATATATGTATATATAATATATATATAGTATATATGTGTGTATATATATATATATATATATATATATATTATATATATGCATATAACACATTAGTAAGATATTAATATTGATAGCATAATAACAAATTGCTATATGTTACCAACCCAATGCGCTCACTATTTGTCTGGCAAATTTCCGGGCATGCTTCTCCTTTAGTTTTCCATGGCTGATGATATAATCTAACATTTGACCACCATTAACATACTCGAAAAACATATAATAGTGGTGTGGTAGCACCATTACTTCCTTAAGTTGAACTATAAAAGGATGATTCAACAAAAGCATTATTGCAGCTTCACGAATGGTGCGAATTTCCTTATTATCATCTTTAGATGAATCCTTGTCTTTGTTATCAGGAGATTTGTCAGATGGAAGTACTCTTGGGATAATCTTAACAGCCAACTTGATAAAATACAAGAATTAAAAATGAAATTATTAATCAAGAGTAGGAGTGATGGCAGGAGGCTTGATGCGCTTTATTACAGTATTGTCATGTGCTTCATCATATAAAATAAGTTTTTTTTAAAATTCAGAATTTAAAGTAATAAATAACTGCCTATAATCACTATCATTTCTTTGCGCAAATGGAATAATTTAGAATCAAATCTTTATCTATTATTTTAATGATATCATAATTCATTTAAAAAAAAAATTAAATGAATAAAAAAATTCATTGTTACCTTTTCGCCTGTCAATGAATGTATTGCTAATTTTACTTTTCCCATGCTACCAGCGCCCAATGTTTTTGTTAGTGTATAGTTACCAAGAACTTTTTTTGGTTTAATTCTTGTACGATTACTACTAGTATCAGAAGCAGTAGCTTCACCAGTAGGATCAGAAGCTGAAACACTATGCGCGTGAACATTTGTATTTTGCTGACATTGTGATGCGTCATTAGCTGTATTAGCTGTATTAGCTTTATTAGTTGTATTAGTTGTATTTGGGATTGTTTTCTCGCCACCGTCACACTGTTGTGAATCTTCGCCAGGTGGTGAATACTCGGGTAGCTCCGAAGGTAAAGGCGAATCGCGTAATATTGTTGGGCCATTTTTTTCAGGTTTGTGTAAGTAATCCTCAATGTCTGATTCCTGCATAGCAACATCGGTCTCTAGGTTTTCACTAGCAGGATGGAATTGTTCACTTTCGTCTTCAGTCGAATAATGAGAATTATTACCATCCATACTTATGGAACAGTCGTCCAACACTCGGTGTGTTTTGCTATGTGCCTTGTGGCTTGGACTGGCATATCCATTTTCTTGGCTTGTATCTTCTATGGAAGTTGATGGTATGTATTTTTTGTTGGATCTTTATTATAATGTTTATCATCCATCGAAGTAACTTTTGGTATGGCTGTCATTGGATGTGTGGTTGGCATGTAGTTCTTGATAATGCAATAAAAGAAAGATAATTGGATTTAAAAGATAATTGTCGATTGAAAGTTCTATGAAAATATTTTGTTGAGTGAAGTTTCTCGTCACAAGATAACACTCCGTGCAGATATAAAACTTGAGTGTTGCACAAAATGAAAATAACTAAGCCGGAATTCAAAATGTGGTGCAACAATATTCTTTAATTTTATACTGTACACTGAAGTACATATATACATTACAATTAAAATATCGCCTAATGAACCTAATGAAGACATTGTACTCTTTTAGGATCCGTTTTTCACGTGCTTTATAACGAATGTTATATATAGCCAAGAAAAGATACTTTTTTCAAAGAATATTCTTGAGGATTAGATAACGAAGGAGGCGCAACTTTATTATATGCAAAGCCCACTCATCTATTCATTTATTCAATTCATATAAAAAAAATTGATCAAGATTATTTAGGTAAAGCTAATGCCTAGCTGACTGCATTCCTAAAATAGCTTTGTGTTCCGTTCCATTCGGACATTATATTTAACAATCGTACTACCGTACAATTGTACTAACTCTAAAAATATAAATTTACTAATTAATTACAGAAAAATTGATATGCATATTAATTTTTTTTATCAAACACAAATATTTATTTATATCGTTATTCAATCAATCTATCGAATTTATTGAATTCTGTTATTGATTTTAAAAATTGCTAAAAAGAATTTCTTTAATAAAGTATACTCTGAAATTTACTGGTTGGAATTGATCTGCAAGTTTTAAATAAAATCGTATGATCTGATTCATTTCTTTGAGAGGAACGGTATAGAATCGTGATTCTGTTCACCAGATCCCTTTCGATTTTTTTATAAACGTATTAACTTTTTTTTGATATATATCAAATTGAATATGCATATTTATCGTTTAAGATTAGTATATACTATTTAGGCACTTTCTATTAAAATACTATATCAGGAGACTTTACTATATACGTACATAATACTTACTTTTATAGCACATAAGACACTTGCCATTATTATGCACTTGAAAGATATCCATGTCAACATGTTTGCTTAAATTTTATATGTATTAAACCAAAACAGGTAAGAAAAATTAACGCATCTTTATCTTATATTGAATTTATATTTGAATACAAAAATCTATAATCTCAAAATTAAGAAAAAAATTTTACAAATTTATATTTTTGATTATTTCAAATATATATAATACTGCTATTTATACTATTGATTTTGCTATTTATATTATACTATATAGTTACTTTAATTTTATTAGTTTTTTATTTATAAGTTTTAAAAAATTTAATCAAATATGTTAATAATTATTTAACTAAAATCTACAATTAAAAGTAGAGGATATGTAGATTATGAAATATAATCTACTATATATAGTAGTCATAGGACATGTTCTTTTTCAGAGATTCAAAAGATGTTATTTATAAATCAAAATAAGTTGACTTACCTAATTTTATATATAAATTTATACAAAAAAATTATTTAAATTAAATTTATTTAAAAAAATATATATAGTATAAACTTTTCTTTAAACTTTAAATATATATTCTTTAGCAAACATAAAACATGTTCTAACTAAGTACTATTACTTATAAATTAAATAAGTTAACTCATCTAATTTTATATATAAATTTATACAAAAAATTCATTTAAATTAAATTTATTTATAAATATACATATAAACCTTTCTTTAAATTTTAAATATATATTTATTAGTATTTAATAATTTTTAATTTAAAATTTTGGTTTTTAGCTTTAAGTAGTTTAAAGAGAACTTTCTTTAAAGTTAATCAATTCTTTACTATATTCTTTAAGTCAAATAAGTAACTTATTTTATCTAATAATATAATTAGTTAAAATAATCTTTTAAAAATTAAAAAAGTTTTACTAAATAAAGATTTCTTTTAGCTTAAATAAAGTTAAAAAGAAGGTTTTTCTAATTCTAATAGGGACTAAAGAAAAAAATATAAGGATCTGCAAAATTTTTTTTTAAAGTATTGGCAACCTTGTCAATATCTTTATTAGATTAAAGCATATGTACAAGATACATTCAAACTATCTAAATTACAGATCTAACATTACTTAGCTACCTCTAAAGATACTCAAGTGCAGTCTGCCTCATTGGTTAAAACTATTAACCATACTAAAGGGTTATACCAAGCTAGCCTAAGAAACTATCACAAAATAGTTTCAAACCAAAAAATTTCTTACTAAATTATGTTAGCAATTTTTTCTTTCTAGACTATTTTTCTTTTTAAAACAAAGTTCTAAATCTAATTTTCTAATAATAAACAAAATAACTTCCTCTTTCAACACAAGATTATTGCTAAGATTCTTTTATTTGTATTTGTATTTCTTTTTTTTTTTCTTTTAATTTAACCTGTCCTTTCTCATTAGAAATTTGGCTTTTGGGAGTCTTCTTATATTTTTTTCTATAATCTTTTTTTCCTGTTTTATAGCTTTGTATTTTCTTTCTTTTTCTTGATAACTTGTTCTATGAGTTTCTTCTAGAAATATTCTTCTGTATATTTTCTCTTTCTCAGAGTACCTTAGGTTTTTTTTTAGTTTTTTTATTTCTAAGTCTTGATCGGTTTGCTTAAATTCTCTTTCTTCTGTGTTCTGAGTATGAAGTCTTCTTCTCTTCTTTTTTTAGTTTTCTTTCTCTTCTTTTTCTTTCTAGAACTTGGTTTTCTTTTCAGAAATTTTTTTATATTTCATTAAAGATCTTCTAATTTCTGAGATGTTCTACAAAAATCTTTTCTAATATTTTTAATAGCATATTTTTTTTTCTAATTTTTAATATCCTTTGGCCTAGATACTAATGTGCTTTAAGACAAATTTGTATTCAAATTCTATTAGAATTTTAGTCTATATATCCATTTTACAAACAGATCTTTTTTCTTTTTTTACATTTTATTATTATATTATGAATTTTTAATACTTATTTGATATTACTTTTGTTAACCATTCTTCTGAAGTTGTTAATATGATTTTTGGTCTTGATTCCTTTTGAATCTTGTTTAGCATCTTTGTTTCTGTAAGACCTAAAATATCATATCTCTTGTTTTTATCTTGCTTTTCTTTTCTGATTTTCTTTTTTCCTTTTCTGGCATGCTAAAATGAATTCGACAGATACTTTAAACTGTATTACTAAAGTCCTTAAATTTGATTCATTATGTTGTTTTTGTTAGATTTTTTTTGTTCTTGAAGTTTCTTGCTCTAATCTAAGTTTAATTTCAATTTTATTTTAGTAGCTTGTTTTTCCTCTTGTCAAACTTGTAATTTTTTTTTTCTTTTTTTAATTTTCTTCTTGTTTCTTGTTGATTGTTGCAGTAGTCTTGATAAATTCTTTGAATTAATGTACTGTAAACTTTAGAGCTATTTTGTTGTACTGTCTTTATCAGTTTTTTCTTTGTTCTTGAAGTCTTCTAATCTAATCTACTTCTAGTTTCAATTTTAATTTAGTATATTGTTTTTCTCTTTCTTCTAATAATCTTTTAACTCTATTAGCTATTCTTAGTTTTACTATATAACCAACTATTTCTTCTATTATAATACAATTGACTAGATTTTTTCTTTTTTGTATTGCTTTATAAAAAACCTCATATTCTCTTTCTATAAGTACAAGTTCTGTGTACTCTAGTTTTTCTATATTATAATACCATAATTCTTTATAGAGCTCTACTATTCATTCTTCAACTATTTCTTTTAAAATAAGTTCTTGCCTAGCATATTCTGCTATTATTTCTTCTACTTATGTATTTATTATTTCATAAGTTATTGCTATTGTTATATCCTGGATATCTGCTATTACTTCTTTTATACCTTTTGGTATATTAGAGTTAATATAACCTTATCTATATATTTCTATATCTTTATATAATTCTTCTAATTTCATCTTTGCTACTTCTGCTGTGACAGGTCTTTTCCAAAACATTCTGTTGATTTTTGCTTCATATAATTTGTTGTTTTTTAACTATTGTTTTTTGTTGTTATTGTTTATTGTGATTGTTTACTATCTTTGTTTATCTTTGTCACATAGTTTTTGTTATGATTTTTTTGTTTATTTTTCGTTATGTGCTATAATTTTGTATTACTAAAACAGAACTGTAATTTAGAATCAAGGCTGATTCTCTCAAAGTTTACAAAGTGCAAAAAAATATCAACAAATTTTCATGACTTCTTCTATTTCTTTGCTGCTTCTGCTTCTCTTATTCAAGTCTTTTAAAAGACTGAGTATTTTTTGTTGTCTTCTTTCTCTTTACTTAAGACTTTGAGATTAGTTTTTTAGTGACTCTTGTATATTTTTGTAATTTTTTGTTAAATTTTTGTTTTCGAGAATTTGTGTTTTGATGATTAGTAGAAAGAGTTCAATGATTAGAATCTGCAAATTCACTATTATACTAAATATTATAAATTATAATATTTTGTATAACAGTAAGTTTGCAAATAATAATATTTTCTTCTTTAATCTTAAGTATCTTGAGATTCACTAAACTAATTTTGATAATTTAACTACTATTAAAATCAAAAAAATCTTCTCTTTAACTTTTACCTAGTAGAACTTTTTTTAATTTTAAAAAATTGGTTTAATTAATCATATTATTGCTTTAAATAATAATATAATTTTACAGAGATTGTAAAAATAAAAAATACATCAACTCTAGCATCAATTAATATTTTATATTAATAGATCTCTAAAGAGTAATAATACATCCTTATAAAATAAACTAAACAGCATAAAAACAATCAAGTACAAGTAAATAAAAATAAAAGTGATGTTATAAACAAGGGCTAGTTTGGAGCAAAAAATTAGCTATTGTCAACGAAAGCTAAATTGCTTAGAATTTATATATTCTTCTTATAGTACTATGTAAAAAGAAAGTTAAAATCTATACAAATAGCTTAGTAGCGATAGAAGCTATAGAAAAAAGAAAGAAAAAAAAACTACATGACAAATTCTGAAGAAAGAGAACTTTAATTTATTAGATAGCATGGTTGATATAGTTAAAATTAAAAAGATTTGGATAAAGTTAATGAAGATTAAAAATCAAAGTAAAAATAGATGAAATAACAAAGCAAAAAGTTTAGCAAAATTAGATGCTAGAATAGATGATAGAAATAGAATAATCAAAAAATATACTCAAATAGTATTTCTATGAACTGAACTAAACTGAACTTTTGGCCAAATTCAAGTTCAGTTCAAAATTGAACTAAACTTGAACTTTTTTTAAAAAAAGTTCAGTTCA